GGTCACCTTATTCCTTACAGGTCCTCACAGCAAGAGCTAAAATCAGCCTAAGAATGACACAGAACAGAAGAATATGCAGTGCTCTCGGATGGATGGGGAATGTATATGATGAGGGAGCTGTATGGTATGCAGCCCTAAAAAAACAGGAGGAGAATGCCTGTAAACAATACAACAATAAGAACACACAAGGGCGCAATAAGCTTGATGGTGTATATTCTAAAGACTACCTGTCTCTATGTCAAAAACGGTGGTGCACTTACATATAAATCCAGGAACTGGACGAAGGGCAGCCTTAATCGAGGATTGGGTTGACCAATATGTATTGCTCCACGATGCTGGTGTATGGAGTATACGGCCAGAAAGTGCCCGCCATGTCCCCAGGTCTTAGTACTAACATTAGTATCACCTTTCCTTGGCCGCTTGCCGCCCCGACAGCACCTTTCCACCACCGCTGTCAGACGTTTTATATGCTGCTGACTCCAACAGGACTCACAGGCATGGACACCAAGTGCCGATATTGAATCTAGCACTGCACTGACTCTCCATTAAGATCCATCCGATCGCACACACAGCAGGAACACAGACCGAGTCCTTGCTCTTCATCCCTCCTCTGCCTTGCACCCGGCACTATCCACACCTGGCGGGCACTTTCTGGTCGTATACACCATACACCAGCATCGTGGAGCAATGAATACTGGTCAACCCGATCCTCCAATAAGGCCGCCCTTCGTCCAGTTCCTAGATTTATATGTAAGTGCGCCACCTTTTTTCCCCTTTTTTGACATAGAGACAGATAGTCTTTAGAATACACACCATCAAGGTTATTGCACCCTTGTGTATTCTTATTATAAGAATTACACACACTTCTTCTGGGTGTCTGCTGACACCCGGACACTAAGACTAAGACACTAAGTGCCGATACTGGCACTTTACATTTCTTGACCTCGGGCAGCTGCATCTGCCTGAATTGTCAACTTGTGAGCCGGGCGTCTGTAAACAGGTACAGCACATCTTCTCATCCTTCGGCTCCTTCCTAATAGCATGCTGCCTGCCTCCAGACCCCTGTTGAGACCCCCGAACTTTCCACACAGCCACCTAAGAGGCAGCATAGCCCACCTGAGAGCCCTCACAGGCCACCTGAAACCCTGGAGACATCAGGACACCACCCCAGAAAGTTTGGGGTTCTGTGCAGGCCCTTAAGTTTCCATACCATACTCATCATACCATGTCTTTAGGAACCTGTCTTTGTGTACAGGGACAACGTGATGGTGGAAGAGAAAATTACTAGACATGTGCGATTCGTTTCGTTCCGAATCAAAATTCAGACGAATTTTCGGAAATTCGGACATTCGGATGTATCCGAATTCCGAATTACAGACATAACGAATGCAAACGAATCCGAATTTCCATTTCCGAAATTCGGTAGCGGTAGTTCGAACGTTCGTTTCGTTTTCGTTTCTCATTCGTTTCTTATTCGTTTCGTTCGTTGGAGCAAAGTGACATCAGAGAAGGAGAAATATTTTCCCCCCTTCAAATGTCACTTTGCTGCGAACGAACGAAACGAATAAGAAACGAATAAGAACAGAAAACGAAACGAACGTTCGAACTAACGCTACCGAATTTCGTCCGAATCCGAATTCCGAATCCGAATTGACTTTCACACCCGAATCCCGAAAAACAAAATAACACAAATCCGAATTTAAAACGAAAAGGAAACTAAACAAATTTTTTGGCAGTGCACATGTCTAAAAATTACCTTCCTCAAAATGTCCCCACAAGGTTGGAAGCACCTTGGAATTGTCTAAAATGTCTTTGTCTGCTGTAGCATCACTGGAAACACTTGAACTCAATAATTTGGAGGTGTGTTTACATCATTTTGGTCATAGTATATGCAAAGCACAGCAAACAAGGAAACCAGACCTTTTTTTGTCATGAGGAAATATGGCTGCCCCCATGTACATATATATTTAAAACTATACAGAGAAAGAAGTATTTTAAAACATTAACACATGGATAAGATTATTTCCATCAAAAATGTTTCCTTTAAAAACACTATTATATGGGGATTGGAATTAATAGCGGTGTAAATATTTTTGCTGTCATTAAAACAAGAAAGTGGTAAAATGCATTACACGGCTCCTATCCTCAATTTATCATCGTATATTATGCCGTGGTAAAAACACAAAAACACTGCACTCGGAAAATAACTTCCATGGCATCAATACAGCCGATGAAACAGATGGAAAATGACATACAGCTTTTATGTAAATTGTCAATTTACTGACATTAATGTTTATTTTCAGGTACACTATAAAAGCTGAAATAGAAGGCAAAGCTCTTAATTTAACAATACCTGGCACTGTGAATACAAATCTCCCCGCGATAATATGATTGCCTCCTATAATGCATATACAAGGTACTTACAATGAATGACATAAAAGGACAGTAACAGCTATTTTCAAAGGACCGACTAAAATGCATAAAAGCATCCCTTTCCTGGTCCAATCTGTGTAAACACTACACTGATACACTGAAGG